AAACGAAACCCAGGTCCGCTACAATAGCAGTGAATGCTCTTAACTCTACCAAGCCACCTCTCCAGCCCCTACCACTCGACTCTTAGGGTGGTTTTCTCCTTGCTGGTTTGTTTTGTAGATAGAATTTTTGGCATAGAGCCCAGGTTGTTCCTGAGTAATCCTGCCTCAGCATCTAAGTGCTGGATTACAGGTAGGGGCTACTATGCTGACTTTCTCTTTTTTAACCATCTCTTCATAGATTCGGGTTAGTAAATATTTCAACCATGTATCATAAGCATCTCTTCCAGACTGTCATTTAGCATTTCCATCTCTGCTTGTGCTATACTTTTTAAATCTGTTGGGCTTTCCCTTCAGGATCGTATGTTTGTATGAAGAAAAGCATTTCTCATTTGGGATTCTAAATACAGAGTCTTCCAAAGCAGTTTCCAGTTTGAGGTCGGTGTGTCTGCACATGTGTGATGAAACACAGGGCTGTATTCTACTGTCCTGTAAGAGGCCGGCCAATCGCTCCGATACTGATTTAAAATTCCATGGAAAGCAGAAAGTAAACCCCTAGATTTACTCAGAGGTCAACTTTTCAGCATTTGTCCTAGATGGCAGGCACAATGCTCGACTTCTGATTTCATGCCATCGTTTTGTGCTAGGGTTGAGGGCCAATAAAGCCTTGACTTTTTGTTTTAATACTGCATGGCTTCCTCTCAAAGGAAAGCTTTGAAATACCTTTGCTTTTCAAATTATATATTAGTGAACATTTCAGCAACAGATTGCTTACATTTGCTTTTTGTTTGGATTGGGTTTTTGAGACGGGGGTTCTCTGTGTGGCTTTGGAGCCTGTCCTGGAACTCACTCAGTAGATCAGGCTGACCTCGAGCTCACAGAGATCCACCTGCCTCTGCCTCCTGAGTGCTGGGATTAAAGGTGTGCTCTGCCACTGCCTGGCCAACAGCCCAACAGACATTTAAATTACTGCATATGGCAGCTAGCCTCTAGGATGACAAGCAGCTCCTGGCAATCATACTTCTATTACCTCTTACACACACAAAGTAGTAATGACTAGTGTAACCTCCTCTACAAAAACAAAAAACAGAACAGTGGGAACAGAACAGTGAGAATACAAACACCTTAGCAGCTTCTACCCTGCCCCATTTCTACTGTCTCACTGGAGGAAGCCAGTTCCTGGCTGCCTTCCTGAGACTACGCAGCTACCCTGGGGAGAGCTCCACCCAAGATCGATCCTGTGGCAAGGGTCTTCGCTACCTACCTAACACTGACTTCCTGCAGATGGGAGCTACTGTAGAAGCAGCTTCAGAGAGGTGTGTGATTGACTGAACCTTTGACTATCACCTCCTAAGACCAAGCCAGCCACTGAGCAAAGCACCTGCCCTACAGGCATGGTGGTACAGTCATAATTCCCAAACTCACAAGGTAGAGGAAAGATCAGGAATTCAAGGTTATTGCTTGCTTAGATAGCAAGTTCAAAGGCAGCCTGGGTTACATGAGACCTTGTTTCAAAAATCAAAACCAATGTCCCTTCTCCATAAGAATACCACTTAATTACTGTGGGACAAACTGGTAGGTTTGAAGCATTATATATGAGCCGAGTGGCAGTGGCGCATGCCTTTAGTCCCAGCCCTCAGGAGGCAGAAGCAGGTGGATCTCTGAGTTCAAGGTCAGCCTGGTCTACAGAAAGAGTTCCAGGACAGCCAGGACCACACAGCACAGTACAACCTTGTCCTGTAAAACCAAAATCAAAAGTTATATATGTTCACACAGCACACAGCACAGTACAACCTTGTCCTGTAAAACCAAAACCAAAAGTTATATATGTTCACACAGCAGCAGGATCTGATTTTACAGGGGACCTTGGTGTTATTTGGCAAAACTCTCTGTGTCCCTTGAAAGAAATCTGAGGGACCCCATAATTTCTGTTGCTAAAGGGAATGGGAACTTTTTGGTGATATTTCCTGAATCCACTAAGTTACAATAGTCATATAACCAACCTTCGGCTTTTATTTTTACATTGGTTTATCATGGATTTTTCTAGACAGATATTTTCTTGTTGCCAATAGCGACTGTTTTCTTCGTATCTGGCTATTTAAACTATCTTTCATCCCCTGACTATGGCAAAACCTTACATATGAATTCCCATCTCCTAGGTTGGAGCTAACCAGCTGTTCTCATCTCATTTTCCCATGTGAACTTAGCTGTAAGACAAGGGAAATGTAGGGTTTATTTTTATTATTATTATTTTGCTTTGTGTTGAGGCAAGGTATTACTATGTAGTCCTGGCTGGCCTGGAAGCTTCTATGTAGAGCAGGCTGGCCTCAAACTCAGAGAGATCTGCCTGCCTCTGCTTCCTACATTCTGGGAAGTTGTGTCCCACCATGCCTGGCAACATGTACCATTTTTAGTGATAACACTGAGATATGAAATACCTTGGGGAGAACCCACCGAGTCTGACATTGCTCTCCAGGAACAGTGTCTCTCTCCTGTCATTCAAGTCTTTGTAATTCTTTGGGGGAAGGGGTTGGGTAAAGTTCATCTCAAGTGGGTTTTGCATATTTCCTACATTTTACATGGAAAGTGAGGACTATTTTCCCAAGCTGATCCTGTCTGCAGCTGTGGCAATAGATGCTGCTGACTTCTGAACACCACACTGTGTGAGTCCCGGAGACTCTAGAAGTAACCGGGACAATCACAGGGTCTCCTCATGAGGCTGGCTTTGCATGTCTTTTGCTCCTTGGTTGGCCACTCACAGTTTTGGGGGACAGCAGGGGGGCTGATAAAGGTGTCCCTTGTGTGGTTCAGCCTCCTGCCTGCTTCTGTCCGGTGTTCAGGGCATGCTGGCCGGATTGTGGGGAAGTGGTACTGTGACTATCATGGATGCTGGGAAGGGCTCCTCCAGCCCTTGCCTGGCTCGGCCCAAGGTCCCTGCATTCTGAGGCACCATGCATGGCTTTGTGGGCTGAAGACAGCCTGCACAGAAAATGACTCTAATTCTGCGCTGGGGCTGGGAGGGAGGGACAAAGGACTAATGTCAGCCAGGCCAGGAACTCTGTGGGAGGTGACATGAGGCAGAGCCAGCTGAGCGCGGACCCAGAGGAAGCACAATCCATACCAAGGGAGAGAGACTGACACGGGACAAGGTCAGGGAAGGCAGCCTGGGCATCCCTCAAGGCCAGGAGCCTGGGCATCCCTCAAGGCCAGGAGCCTGGGCATCCCTCAAGGCCAGGAGCCTGGGCATCCCTCAAGGCCAGGAGCCTGGGCATCCCTCAAGGCCAGGAGCCTGGGCATCCCTCAAGGCCAGGAGCCTGGGCATCCCTCAAGGCCAGGAGCCTGGGCATCCCTCAAGGCCAGGAGCCTGGGCATCCCTCAAGGCCAGGAGCCTGGGCATCCCTCAAGGCCAGGAGCCTGGGCATCCCTCAAGGCCAGGGCCACCACCAGGGCCTGAGAACTGTGGAAGGAAGAGGCAGAGGAACTTCAGATTGGAGCTGACCCCAAAAGGAGCCAAGGCAGACACTGAAGTGACTCTCTCGCTGTCCCCAACCTGGGCCTGGAGTCCCTTCAGCCACAGGACTCTGTTCTCCCCATTATCTCACCAGTGTAAAACCACTGCGGCTGCCCCTGCTCATGAGCAAACCTCACCCAACTTCAGACACTTCAGGGCCTCCACAGCCTAGGGTGCCCCGAGGGAGATGCTCTGTGGCCGCAGGAAAGCCCAGGGGTCTACAGGCTGGCGCTGTAGAGGTGTCACCTTCGCAGGGGCCTCAAAGCATTGGGTCCCAGAGGACATGCTGAGGTGGCATGTCAGTCATGCAGGTGACTCTGGGACCCCGCTCTTCTGGTGCTGTTGTCATTCATTTATTTATTATGTATATACAGTGCTCCACCTCCAAGTATCCCTGCACGCTGAAAAGGGCGCCAGATCCTCATTACAGAGGGTTGTGAGCCACCATGTGGTTGCCGGGAACCGAACTCAGGACCTCTGGAAGAGCAGCCAGTGCTCTAAACCTCTGAGCCATCTCTCCAGCCCTGTTGCTAGTTTTTTGTTTGTTTTCTTTTTTGGTTTTCAAGACTGAACTGCTTTGGAGCCTGTCTTGGGACTAGCTCTGTAGACCAGGCTGGCCTCGAACTCAGAGATCCACCTGCCTCTGCCACCTGAGTGCTGGGATTAAAGGCGTGTGCCACCACCACTGGCTTGTTGGTAGTTTTTTTGAGACTGTGTTTTGTTATATAGCTCAGCCTGGCCTTGAACTTGGAATCCTCCATCCCTGCCTCCTCAGTGTGTTAACCATGCATGACACCAGCCTTGGGAGCCTGCTCTCTTTACCTGTCTGTCACTTTTTACCACAGCGAGTACTCAGGCAAACATATACACCTCAGTGCCTGGTTCAATGGATGCTCACACAACCAAAGCACCACCAGCATGCATTTTGGCCACAGTTTTGAGTGATGCGGTCTGGCTTGGTACTCTTCCTCGGTGGAAACTATATCACAGATAGTGTGATAGCCTCTCTCGGGGAGTGTCCTAGGGTCTGCACACTTGGGCCTGTCTCTCCTACCACTGGGCTGAACATAATTCAGTGCCTGCTATCCAGCCACGGCTGGTGAGGTTTGCTTACTGTTGGAGGCAATCATCAGTACAGCTGCCATGCACATCTTGGTGATGGCCAGTAGCTATGCAGAGAGGTCACTTCCCTGCTGTGGGGCTTCACCCTCCCTCCCACTTATTGCTACCCTTTTGTTGAGGGTTGGGGTGCGCTGGGAAAGGCTGAGATGGGAATGTGTGGCAAACTCTTTCTGACCGTGGGCAATCCCTCCTCAGTGTCCACCAGAATGGGAGTCTACCCCAAAGCCTAGCCAGAGTGGTTGAAGAGGGCCCTGGACACTGCATGTGTGTTTGTGCCAACCCATTCGGCCCTCCTCTTGTCCCAGAGGCTCATTCTCCTCCATGCCCCTGCCCACGCAGTCCATCTAGAAGCCTGCCTCCTACTGCTTACCCAGTCTTGGGTCTGCAGATCCTCCTGAGGGTTGCTCTTGGTGTCTGGCGGGACTGAGGCCGCTGAGGGCCGGAGTGGTGGAGACGGCTGCCCTTGATCTTGAGCGAGCTGCCACTGTAGCGTCTTCCTCTGGGGGCGCTGCTGCCTGCTGTCCATCTGTACCTACAGCAGGCAGCAGCTCGCACATCTAGGGCGCTGGCTGTCAAAACAGACCCCAAGGCAGATGGCAAATTCTGCTAGGGCCGCCTTCTAGCCAGTGATCACTCTTGCCAAGTAGAGGGGCCCCCTGCATGACTTTCTTTCCCAGCTCCTGCGGCCACTGCCCTCCACGCCAGCAGTCCCCCCGGGGACATCAGAGCCCAGGAGAAGTAGATGCTTCCCTGCTCTGATCTCTCCGGACCGCCTGCCCAGCCTTCCTCACCCTTGCTTTGCAGGGGGTGCTTCGCCTGCTGTCCTGGCAAGCTCTCAATCCTAGGGTCCTGTCCTCAGCCCGCCTCCCTTCTGCCACGTCGACGATCCTACCACACACAAGGCCTAGGCTCGGGGTCAGCCCGAGGCCTCATTTCCCACCCCCTCCGCGGGCCTGAAGTCAGTTGGGGGGCAGGGGTGGGATGTGGGGAGTTGGGTCATCCGCTCGCACGCGGGAGCAGAGCTCGCCCAGGGAGTTCCGGAGCGGGCTCAGTGGGCACCAGCGAGGGAAGAGCCAGTGGATTCCGGACAAATGAGACAGGCTTAATGGGATCGGGCCGACAATGCATCAGCCGGTGGGGCCAGGCTCACAAAGGTCTACACAGGGCGTGAAGCCGCGGGCTGCGAGCGCTCGATTGGGTCCGAGTAGATGGAGGCGGACTCAGTAGGATGGCGGCGACCTCGGACTAATGTGAGGCCGACTCAGCGGGACCTATGGGCACATCCTGAGACGGCCAAGGACAGAAACCCAAGGAAGAGGGGCGGGGCGGACCGGGAGCTTCCGTCCTGCGGACCCCGCCCTGCGCCGCCGCTTCCGCCCGCCCCTCGACGCCTGCGCCCCTGCGCTCCAGCCGCGTGGCCCCAAAACACAGAAAGAAGTCACAGCAGTGGGCGGCCTGAGCGCCGTCAGTTTATTAGTGTCGCTTCAGCACCTTGAAATCGTCCACATGGTCGCATGGGACAGATCAGCATCTGCTCCCAGAAAAGCTATTTACATGAATCCTGCTTTCCATTAAAAAAAAAAAAAAACAAAAACAAAACTAGCAACACATACACACACCCTAGAAATCAGTCACAGCGCGCTGGAGTCTTCGGAAGTGGACGGAGTCATTCTCACACAAGGCTGTCAGCCTCTGCTGGACCCTCTCCAGGACAGAGCAGTCTCCGGAGGGCGTGGGGATTTGGGGGGCAAGTGAGGGTTCGGTACTCTGGCTCAGGGAAGAAATGCCGGGACATTTGTATAAGAAATTCATTTGAGATGGAGGGTAGAGGCAGAAGTGAGGCCTGCTAGGTCAAGCCATTGCACAGGAGCCGAGGACCACCCCTCCCCTCTCAGCTCTGATACCATTCAGTGATACTAAGCTGCATTCTGGGGGGGTTGGGAGTGGCAGGGACCAACTTGAAGGTAGAGAGGCAGGGCCCTCAACTGACAGGAAGGGCAGTGGAGCCTTCCCACCCATCCACACTGGCCTAAGAGGAACCTCCGGGCTAGGAAGGCCTGTGGGATCCACACACAGCTGTCCCCAGAGCTGCACTGCCTGTCAGGGGGCTTTGGTGTCTAGTCATCCTTCAAAGGGACAAAAGTGCTTCTCTAGGAGTCCTCATCACAGCTCCATGAGGTAGGCAAGGAAAGTGGACGTCTCTCTTTAACCAGCGAGGGAACTGAGGCACAGGGGTGACTGCTTCTCGGTCTGCACTGGCACAGCTACGCTGGTGGGTACATGGTACTCAGGTGCTATGCTCTACTGACTTCGCCTTGAGTCAGCTGCTGGACGGAGGCGCCCCACGTTCCTCTTGTATAAAGCCAGACCTCCCTCAGGCATGGGCTTGGCCACCCCTCCCATGTCCTCCAGGCTAGAATTCTAGGGCAAATCTTCCCTACCAAGGTTGATGTTTGGGAAGAAATTCAAGGGGCAGATAAGCCAAGCTCCAAGGATCACAGTGGCCATCTTTCACCCCAGGAAAGGCAAGTAGTCCTCACACTCAGCCTGCTCCACTCTTAGAAGTTCTCAAGGTCAAGACACCAAACATAGAGCTCCCAAATGGACCTCTGGAGTGCCGGGGACTGCCACAGCTTCCAAGGGGGCAGGCACCCTTCCAATTGGCACCCCAGGGAGAAAGGATTCGTGAGAAAATGAGGACCGAGGCAGCGGTCCCTTCATGAATATGGTGGGGGCATGTCCAGTCAGATGGTTCTTTCTGTAGGCTAGCACCTCCCTCTCCTACTGAGTGGGAAGATGATGGAGGATTGGACTGCCAAGAATGGGGTTCAGGTGGCTTTGAAGAACTTGGCTTGGACGTCCCTTGGATAGTGTCTGTAGTTAGACCAGTCTGCTTGAGCCTTCACTCCACACACACACACACACACACACACACACACACACACACACACGCTTGCGCGCACACAAATGCACACACACACCTCTAGTTGTCTGTTTCCAGTTCATAACCTTGATTTTCAACCCAGACCCCACACAGCCAGCCCTGGATGACGCTGTCCAGCAGGCAGAATAGAGGTGGCAGGTATGGTAGAGCAGTCTCAGACACACCCCAGCAGGGTCTGCCATTCCCAGGACATACACTGGGAAATTTGCAAGGACCACCTATCTGAGCAGCAGGATCCGCAGAAGCCTAGCAGTGCCTCTGGAAGTGGAGCCCGGGGGGGGGGGGGAGGAGAGGGGGGGGGGATGCAGCGCCTGCTGGCTCTGCCCCGCCCAAGGGGACTTCACAAGAGCAACATCTGCTTGGCAGCTCCATCGTCAAATGTATCTGAGAGCATTAGAAAGATCTGCTACTATAAAAGCTCCGCCATGAGGCTGGAGTTTATTGGGAACCACACCTGGGGAGTGCTAGGAGACCAAACCCTTTGCCCTCAGTGTTTGGCCACTAGACTCCCTCTCTCCACCCCCCGAGAAAGCAGCATCCTGACTTCAGGAAAGCACAGGACACAAGGGCAAGAACACTTCTGAGATCAGAGTCCACCTCCCTTCCTACTAGCCTCTCTAGTGCCCACATATTCTGGTTAATAAGCAGAGCAGTTACTCGGTGGCCCACGGGGAACTAGCTTCCCCAGTTTCTGGGCTATGAGCACATTCACACTTAAGACCATTTCTTTGTGTTTTTAAGAGTCTGTCTCTGTAGTAACCACACGTTAACAGAAACACATCTGTCTCTCCACCAATGGTTGACACTGAGCAGGACCCTCCACTGTCCTGTGTCAGCCCTTCCGTGGGTGGGGCTAGAAGGTGGCCTTGGAGTGTCCAAAGATGCAGATAGGGAAATGCTTCACATGGGAAGACCACTGGGCAGCCAGCTGGAAGAACTTGACATCGCTGCATTCCACACCATCGATGAGGACTGTGGAAGAGGACCACCTAACCATCTGCCTGCCTGGCAAGGCAACCACCGGAGATGGTGGGCTGCTGCCAGGAGGCAGGGCAATCCTGAAGCTGGAGGAAACCATGCTTACCAGGTCCTTTCTATCACCTGCCCTCCAAAGATTCAGCTCCTTGGTGACTCCACCGCCCAGGGGACTAGAGAGTCTAAGCCACATTTCAGCCAGGTATGGTTCATTTATGCCACCTCCTCTTCACAGGTTCCTACTTAAAATGCCTCCACTTCCAGGGGCAGATTTAGTAAGACTCAACCCTAAATTCTCAGTGGTCCAGGAGTCCTACACATTAAGTGCGCTTACAGAGGAGCTTCTGTAAGACATTTAGGTATATAAACCAATCTTTAAAATGCAATGGTAGACCCTAGGTTCCATCTCTAGCAACCCCCTACCATATCTCCATCAATAAACACAGAGAAGGTTGAGAAATTATTTGAACTTGAAAGGCCGTTAGATGCATACAAGTACCTTATCAAAATGTGTGTGCCTTTTATAGCAAACAACTGGTTCCTGTGCTGGGTTTGAAAAGCCAGCCATCTGTTTGCTCTGTGTTCACATTTACAGACAGAACCAAAAAGGACTTGGGTCATGGACTGATTCCCCCAGCACCCTCTGGAGCAGCCCTCTGGCCCATGCTCACCCCGAAGCATGTTCTGTTGGTGTTTAGCTGTGCAGATGAGCCGGCTGATGCCTTCGATGCACTGGCTTTTAGATTCCACATCCTTATCCTTGGTTTTCTTGGGCAAAAACATCACTGGGAAGAGAAGAGCCCTGCTGTTGACTGACAGCTCCTTCAGAGCCAGGCTGGCCAGAGCCCCGCAGCAAGCAGGACGGGAGAACAGTGGCCATGGGGACTTGGCTGGCCCCTGCTCACCTGGGATCCAGCTTCTTGCTGTGACCACATATCCTGCCTGACATTCTACCTGAAGCCACAAGCTGCCAAGGACCTCAGTGTCCTCACAGCTCAGGGGCCACAGCTGTCAAAGCGCGTCTGACTGCCAATTCCTTCTGAGCTGAGCTGTGGGCTCAATTATGAATTCACGGGGAATTTGCTAGGGGCTGGGGGATGATCCCCCATCACTGACGATCAGCCCAGAGACCCCTCTCCCGCTGTCCAGCCCTGCTCGGCACATTCCCACCTCACCCTTCTTGTTCTTCTCCTTGGTGACCACGGTCATGGACATGGTAGGTGTGGCCGCAGCCTCACCGCTGCTGGGCAGCCTGCTGACCTGGAGGGACCGGAAAGTGCACTTGAGCGTGTTTTTGGTGGTGGGCAGGTCCTTCTTCTCGGCATCTCTCTTCCTGTCTGCAGGCGGCGCTGCCGTCCAGTAGTCCACCTGTAGCCCCATGAGCTCAGCGCCGATGCCCTGGCTGTAAAAGGCAGAGGGAAGTGCTCACACTCATGACCTCACTGTGCCATTGTGGGCAAGCAGGTGTGAGTGGCACCTCACCTACTAACTTACTGGCCAGTGCCCGGGAACTATGAGAAGCTCTGCACAGCCAAATGCCCACTAATAGTCTTCTAGGGTACTATTAGTGCCTGTGGCCCTGGCAAAATTGCCATGCAACCTGCACACCAGCTTCATCAGAGATGGAGTGGCTGGTGACAGCAGGTGGCTAGAAAAGTCCTGACTGGACCTTAAGGCCATGCCCGCCATGGACTCAAACTTCCCAGTTCAACTTGCTTGTCTGAGCTCTGCTTGAGCCTCGGGTGGCTTGGTAGGACTCGGCTCACTCGTGCGGGGCCTCTTGCGCCTCCTGTTCTAACAGCCACTCCTGTCCCAGGGAGCACTGAAGACACCAGCCACCCCTACACCTCTCCACAGCGACTGGACCAAGCCCCAAGTGTCCCTCCCTCACAGCCCTTCAGCCTCCTTCCCAGCATCTGCCCACATTGCTCTGAACACCAAGGGTGGGTGTCACCTTAAACCAACGAAGCGAGAGCCATGTTGTTTACCTGGGGGAGGACAGGCTTCCACTCACTGAAGGAGAGGAGGGCGGGGTAGGTGAAGCCTCCTTGGCCGCAGGAGATGTAGACACAGATGGTGGAGTGGAAGACAGCACACCGGAGCCCGAGGGGGCCGCATCGTCTGAGTCTCCTTTGGGGAGGAATCACAGGCCAGTGGTCAGACAGCTGTCTAGTCTGGCCCCACAGCTGGCTGGAGCCTGGACTAGGGCTCTTGGGGAGGTAGGGTAGGCAGACTAGCTTATGTGGGGGCAGGATGTTATCTTTCTTGGCTAGTTCGCCTTGATCTGAGGCTTTGTGATTATAGGAGAATCAGCAGAGGGCCACCTATCCAGAGGGCCACATCAGCAGTTCTTAGAGAGGGATGAAGTTACCTGATGTGGCTGAAGATGGTTCCACAATTCCAACCTTCACAACCTGGGAAGTAATAGATGCTGGCTGGAGGCAGGTGGGGAGGATGGGCAGCCCTACCACTCTGCTTCGGCACAACCTGGGAGTTCATCGTCTATGTCCCTGCTGCTGCCCAGCTTCTGTCCCAGCACCCTCCCATCCAGGGGACATGGCCCCAGCTCTGGGCAGTGGCAAATCTCATGTGCATGTGACTGGCCAGTCCTAGATATCATCAGACCCAGACACTGGCTGGAAAAATACGGATGCAGAAGCAGGGGCTGCTTCACAGTACTGTGTGGGCCGAGGCGGAGAGTTCTTCAGGCTCGAACCATCTAGCATGGTGGCCATTAGCCACACGAAGCTGTGTCAGACTGAATTACAATACCAAATCCAGGCTCAGCCATGTCAGGTACCCATGGGGCACTTCTATTACTACAGAAAGGGCCTGGAACAGGATACTATAGAGATAGCGTCACTGCCTGGACATCAAGTGTCATGTTGCTCTAGAGGTCTCACAACAGGACTGGGAGTGAGCCTCCACATTTGGTCATGTCTAGCCTATGCCAGGAGGTATAGTCCTGCCTGAGCAAACCTGCCGGGAGCTTCATCCTTACCCTGTAGATGGCTAAAGATGGCTAAGCCTCCTCATCTGAGCGCTGAGTTGACAGCCTGAGACATCTCCCCCAGAATAGGGGTTTATCCTCCCATGTATTCACTTTGGGAACCAAAAGCTCCCAGACCAAAATGCAGGAAGGAAGCATGGAGGATTTATGAGAAGGGATTAAGCAGTCCTCAGTTGGCTTACAAGGTGAGGAAGGGTCTTATATGTGTAAGCTAACACTAAAGCACCCTGCATTGGCAGGGATCTTGGCAGGCATGTTCTTAGTGAATGAAGCCGGTGATACTCACCCCAACAAAGGGAATGAACCTCTGAGAGGATTCTTCATCAGGGCTGGGAGCAAAAACAAAAAACTATTAGACTCCCTTCTGGAGTACCCAATCTCAGCTGTCCTTCAGCCTGGAGACCCAGTCTACTCATCCCTTGCCCCTACCCACCACAGCCCTTAGCCACATCACCTGCCCATAGGCACCCTTTGTCACTACAGAAAAGCCCTGGCTGATCTGGCTGATACCTGGATCTTTTCCCATACGTCTCTGCATCCCTGGGAGGAGGTCGGTGTGCTCATGACTCTTGAGGGAGACTGCTTTTATCACAGGTGGCTGCTCTGCCCCGTCCATCTGCCTGTTTCCAGGCCCACCAAGCCAATTCCCTTTTGTGTGCATGCCCCATGGAGTCTAAAACCAGGTCTTCTGCAGTGACTGGGGTTGCCCTTACCAAAAACAGTGCATGGAGGTTTCTTCCCAAGTCTGGGTGGAGTCTGGCTTATACAGAAGCCTCAGCGTTGGCTAAAGTGCTGGAGTGGAGATGCTAGGTTCTAACAGTAACATCTAGGTGCAGCCTGAGAGCTGAGTAGGGTTCTTGGAACAAATCTGAATAGCTGACCAAGATTAGTGACTGGATGAGGTGTTATCTGAACCTGACCTTGTATAGCATTTGGCAGAACAGTAGCTTGTCCCGGAAGCTAGTCATGGCCCATCTACCATGAAGATGCTGAGGGGGGCTGAGGTCAGAGAGGGAAAGCATTTGCTGTTCTCCTCCCATGCACTGCCCACGAGGGCTACAGCCATGTGGTGCACCTCTGAGCAGAGCACAGGCTCCCTAAGGTATAGCCTCAGCTTGGGGCACATGGTTCCATCAGCAGTCAGAGCTGCTGGAAGGAGGCCTGTTTCTTCCATGCCCTTCCTGCCTGCCCTAACCCTAACCCTCCCCCATAACACCCTGATCTGAAGAGCATGTTAGCAACTGGAGTCATTTCTGCATCTTGTTTCCTCACACTGGTGCTGGAAGCCAGTGCATCTGTCGCAGCGATGGGCTGAGATGGATGGGCTTCTCCCTACACCCAAGCTTGTCCCCCTGTACTATCCCTCAGGGGTTGCACTGCAGCAAGTGTAACAGAGCTTGGGAGGTGGAGGGCCATGCAGCCACCTGTTCCGGGCATGAGCTTCCAGGATTGGCAGACCATCTCCCTGGATGGCAGAGCTTGTTCCCATTGTTCCCACTCACAATGCACTCAGATAGACCAGTAGTCTCTGCTGCGGGGGAGGGGGTGTTTGTCTGGCAGATGTCTTGGACTACGCTAGCCCACTGGAGACGGCTAAGTTCCCAGCCTCCCCTTCCTTCCTAAGGAGGGTGGTTTTGACAGGAGAAGCCTCCTCCTTTGTCCATTCCTAACGGCTTGACTCCCGCCCCACCTGCCCTGGCCTGTCCACTTCACACAACACTTTGGGCCCAGGAGTTTTAAAAGGCAGGCAAGCATAGTGGCTCCCAATGAGGAGGGCTCTACCCACGGGCTTACCCACACTCTGCAGGGCCCTCTAGGACCATGGCAGAGCAGCCTCTTATCTGCGGTCCACTCTAAGACACTCAGGAACAGAGTGGGGCTGACAGGAGAGACACGGCAACACGGAAAAGCTACCAGAACTCAAAAGCCAAGCTGTACCCAGGGCCATGCAGGCAGCTCCAGCACAGGCACAGCAGCAGTGACACTAGCAGGCAAACCACGAGCCTGGATGCAGAGGCAGCCAGGGCTGGCCGCACAGGACCATGTCCTTGATCTGTTCCCACGTGGCATCCCTGCCACGATGCCAAAGCCACGGAGCCCGAGCCCGAGGACCGTTTCTCCCATATCTCCCATACACCACAGCAGGAGGCTGGAGCAGGCGCTGCCCCAGTATGGCCGGAGGGCTCCACTGCCATCAGAGGACAAGCTCCATTCCCAGCTTCAGGTAAGAGGCAGGCACACCCTGCCAGAGCCCACCTAGTGCCGGTGTCACCACGGTGTCACAGGCAGAGGGAGGTATAGAGGAGAGAGCGCATCTCCTCAAACCTGGTTTTACTAGATGTAAGAACAGCACAGGAGAGCATGCTGCAGGCTCTTCCCATCATAGCCATCGGCACAGGCCAAGCCTCAAGGCAGGAAAGCTATGAAGGCTGGTCTTTCTCTAACATGGAGGCTTGTTTAGCAGGGCAAACTGATACTTTGTTGTTGTTCTGTTTTCTCTGTGTAGCTTTGGAGCCAGTCTTGGAACTTGCTCTGTATACTAGGCTGGCCTTGAACTCACAGATATTCACTTGCTTCTGCCTTCCAAGTGCTGGGATTAAAGGTGTGCGCCACCACCGCCAGGCAGGCAAACTGGTCTCCTCTGTGTCCTGCTGGCTCCGATAATGGGTAGCACTACTGACTGTTTCCTGGACACTCTTCCTGGGAGAACACACACCTTGATGCAAGTGTGGCAGACTTGGGCAGGAAAAGGACAGCTCTGAGGGTATCTGAAGCCAAGCCTCCAGAGGGCGGAGCCTTCCCAGGGAAGAAAAGCACTTTACCCTTAGGGAAGCCTGGATGCCTCCTCAAAGAAACTAGAAAAGACATTACAAACCCTCTCTGTGCCTCTGCTGGCCCTGGGAGTGGATTTTATGGTGCAGAAGTTGGCTAAGGCACCTGCCATACTGTGCCAGCTCCTTGGCCTCTTACCACCACACTCTTAAATGCAGGACCCACACTGATGGTGCCACAACCTTCTGAGGCTATGTGTGGCCGGGTCACTGCTACTGTTAAGTGTGAGGGGCGAAGCCAGCGTGGGGTGGGGGTGGGGGTCCAGATGCCAGCACCAGGGTTCACACAGCTTAGTTTATCAAGATGTCTTAGAAGCAAAAACTCCTTGGGGTTGGTTCCAGAGGCAAAAGGACCCATCTGCAGCTCTCCCGAGAAAGGGGTTCATTCCTGTACCACAAGGGATGGGGATCCTACCTGGGGCATCAGAGGAGGGGGCACCTGGTAATGAACCTACTAAACAAGCCCTAAAGACCAGCCTAGAGACAGACGGGGTGTAGGTCAGAGAGCTGTACCTCAGGGTAAAGTCAAAGTGAAAGTGCTTTTTCCTTGTTTGGAAAGCCACCAGGAGAGAAAACACAAACGTTAGGACACCGGGAAGAGCAGCAAGTCCTCCACACACTGAGGCGGCAGCAGAGCGGCTCCTAACGGTCTGGATGGCTCTTCACCCACCCTGACCTGGGGCAGCAGCTGAGGGGGGTGAGGGTTCCTAGAGGATCTGCCCTGCCATCAGGTAGCAAGGCTGGACTTTTGCTGACCTACTACGCTGGGTCAGCATTCGGCTACCTTTCAGTCTGGGGAAGGTGGGGTGTAGCCTGTGCATTTTAAAGAGGTTCAGAACTTTGCAGCCGCTGGCTGCGGGGTCTACGGCCCTCCCCAGCAGGGTGCTGGGCCCACCTTGGACACCAAAGAGGGGGCTACCTTAGGCTCAGCCTACTGCCTATTGCTGTGGATCAAGATGTAGGACCCTCACTACTTTTCCAGCCTGTACACCGCCATGATGATTATGGACGGGACCTCTGAACTATAAACCAACAAATTAAATGTTTTCTTTTATAAGAGTTATAGGGTTTCTCCACAACAATAGAAACCTTAACAGGTGGATTGTCCAGGGGTCTGAGCCAAGAAAATGTTCAGTTCCCTAAGATCCAGCGTGGAGGAGGCCTCGCCCCGGACCCCTCAGCTTCTCGGGGGTTAGGACCTAGAGCCACTTTGTCTAACCTTTCACACCTAAGTCCTGAGCACCGCCCAACTCTGGGCAGATGGGGTCATGATCTGACTGTTCAACCAGAGGCCAAAGCCAGGGTCAGGGCACCTGTGGGGAAGGAAGCTTGTGGAAGAAACACGACCACGTATGAGGACGACAGGAACAAGTGCCCGCTACTATATCACGTAGAATGTTAACATGCACAAGAACACAACCTGGTACTCTGATTCGACATGGATCCACTGAAGGCTCCTGCCAATCAGACAGCCAGGTTTCCCCTTGAATCCATCCCACAGACTCCACGGAGCAGAGGAGCTGGGTACCTCCTCCACCGGGCCCCCAGCCCTGCCCTCCACGTTACCTCTTCTGCTTGTAGGTCAGCATAGCCTCTGCGATGGGGAGCTGGTGAGCACAGTTGGCCCCTGAGATGTACTGGGTGATGCGTGACACGATGTCTGGTGTGTCCTGCACTGCACAAGGCAGAGGCGGCAGAGGGTCAGCATGGTCACTAGGTGGGCTCTGCTAGGGTCTGTGCTGTGTCCTAGGCTCTGCATTTTGACTCTTCTCTATCTCTGCTTTCTGCTAGCTGCCTCTGGCTCAAGTGCCCACCCACAAGAGTGCTGGGGACTGGCGCGTGCGTGCGTGCGTGTGCGTGTGTGTGTGCACGCACGTGCCAGGGTTCTTTCCCAAATCCTGAAGGCCTGTTCTGGAGCTCCATGCCTGCCCCTTCCCAATGCCATACCCCACAGCAAGGCTAAAAACTCAGGCTGGGTGAAGGAAGTCCCATAACACCCCCTCCCACCCTGCAGCTGAGCCTGAGAAGTAGGGTCTCTTATGATGGGACCTCTCCAGTAGAAGAGGCCTTTTCTCCAATGCAGGGGACTACAGATGCATGGGATTGCCCCCTCACCAACTCAATGACCAGGCCTCACCACTGCTCTGGGCTTCCAGTTTGTTGAACAGGTCTCTCCAGGCCAGATCCTGGAAGAAGTTGTTGTAGCGGTAGTCCACAGAGCCCAGGTACCTGGCCACAGGGTGGGAGCCTGGGAGCCCCAGAAAATCCATCACCATGTGAATTGCCCAACCCCAGACAACCCCGCTGTCCCCAGCCCCTCTGCTGTAAGAGTGCAGGGGAGCTATGACACAGGCCTCCCTTCTGCCGTTATACCGGGGGAGGAAACGAGATGGACAGAAGCCAATGGTGAGGGCGGGAAGATCCATGAAGGCAGCAAGAAAAGGGCCCCAGGTGAGAGGCGCTGCCCTTAAACTTCACTACTGGTCAACAAATAAGCCCGGGCATGTGCGTTTATAGAACTGCAAACAGCTACTGGAATTCAAATCCACAGGTCGTAACGACCTACAGAGACCGCTTTGTGATAGAAACCAGAGCTCTTGAGGAGTGATCTGTGGCGGACCACTAGTTTGTCCTGTAACACATTCTACATGATTAGGACATGTGTCTAAGAGGAGAAAAGACAGTGACAGAAGGCTAGGCCTTACTGCACAGCCTGGTTCCAGGCTGACCTGGAACCTTTAACCCTTAGCTTCCAAGTGAGAGGGTGACAGGCATAATACTCCATCTGGCACACGTGACTTCTCAATATAGTGACAATGACTGGTTTTAAACAACAGAAGGTCACACTGGCACCTCTACCCTCACCAGGCTGTGTGCCTCTCTCTCTCTGAGGTCTCTCAGGGCTAGTCCCAGGTGGCCAGCAGCCCAAGGCCCCTCACCGAGCGGGATGATGAGGAAGCGCATGTAGCCCAGCCAGTCAGGCGTCTTGTGAGACAGCTGCTCCACGAAGAGCCGCAGGATGGCGCTGAGGTAATGCTGTGTCCCTGCCACTGCGATCTTCACAGGGGTTGGTGGCTGAGAATTGCAGTTGCAGCTGCGATCCCAAGAGAGTGGGGCAGAGAGGGACAGCTGCCTCACTGTCTCAGGCCCAGGGTCACCCTGCTGAGCCCCAGGTAGCCCGTGCCCCCTACCGTGCAGGAGCCCCACCAAAAGGAGTTCTGGGTTTGGGGGATGGAAAGCTGAATGTCTGCCTGGCTATGCCTGGGCCAGAAGACTGTGCTCAAGGCCTCTGCTGGGGTCACTGTAAAAGCCTACCACAGAATGCTTCCTCACTTGTCACCCCTAAGTGAGCTTCAAGATGCATGCTGGGAATCAGAATAAAGACCCAGGGAGTCTATGGGCAGCACATCCAGAACCATCACTGATTCTCAGGATCAAAAACCCTGTCTCCAAGTGGCAGGCATGGCTGCGGTGCAAGGCTCCAGGAAGTACCCAGGCAGAAATGGCAAGGAAGGATGGGAGACTCACTATCGCTGTATCCGCGAGACAATGGTGCTGAAGGCGGCCTGCACGTCAGCAGCAGAGCACGTGCACACCACAGGAAGTGTATGCTTCTGCAGGACATCTGAGAGGAACTAGGGGGCAAGCGGACACTGACCTCCGCATTGCACCCGGCAGTCCCTACCCACCCTCACCACAGGTCCCACAGGGTCCACAGGCGTCTACGCGAAACTGATCGCCACTGAAGGCCACACAAAGCCTTGGTTCCCCAGGAGAAGGGCACACGGCTGGTCATATCCCTTACCTGTCCCTGCCAGTCTGAGGTGTTAACAAGAATGATATTCTCAGGGAGTTGGTCATCAGAGACGAGGATGTGGTTCAGTTGGTCATACACCGTTTTCCTGGGAATCTAGAGACAGTGAGGTGTCCACACAAGGGGGCGCAGCACCCAGGCCTTTCAACTTTCAGCCCTGGGCCTCAAGACTCCACACCCCAAGGCTGGGAGCAAATGAGGACGCGCCTAACATGGAGGTCGCTTGGTCTGGAGTGGTTGCACCTGGGGTGGCTCTGATGCAGAGAGAGCAACAGGATGTCTAAAACTAGCCCCAGGGTCAACAGGCTTCTACAAGAGGACCCATGACTGCCTTCCTGTCTGCAAGGGACTTCACGGTAAACCCTCAGGGTCTGCCGAGTCCTCAGGGCCCCTAGGCTTCTCTGTTCTGCCTGCCACGCGGCCCATCCTCCCTCAACTCCCTCCCTAACCTGCAGTTGGCTCCTTGTGTCCGGACAACGCTCATTGTCTAGGCTGTTGGCCCGCTCATTCTGCGGTCGAGCTGGCTGCCGCTCCTTCAGGGATGTGCTCCGGCCCCTGCGGCCTGCCGGCTTTGCCTCTGACCTGCTTGTGACCAGGAAAGGCAGAGGAGAGCTGCTGGAGTGGCAGGTTGCACACTGAATTGTCGCGATCTCCCCAGCACCCTGAGCCCTCAGCGGTTTCACTGCCAAGGACAGCAGGGTAGGAGTAGATGGCGCCTCTTGGGCACACAGGCCAGCAGATGGCCGCAGGCAGCCACTATTGACAGACGGGTTAGGGACCCGCCTGCAGTGTCTGGGATTGGCCCAAACAGCTGGCTTCCCACAACCCTTCCCCAAAGGGGCGCATATCCCCTCAGCACAGACCCACACCTGGTGGAGGGGATGACAAGAGACTCAGTCTTGGTGATTCTCCCGCTGGGTGGCAGCTTCTCGGTGAACACATCCAGGGTAGAGGTCTCAGCCTCTGGACTGTCCTCAGGTTGCCCTGATGGCTCCCGGGGGGCTGGCGAACTCTGACGGATTGAGAAGAAGCCATATGCACCCACCTGGACAGAAACATTATCACGCCTCTCCTGACCATTGGCCCTGGGTTAGGGTAAGGCTCTAGGCTTCCTCTGACTTAAAATCTTGGATGAGGCACAGCCTCATGGAGGCAAGAAGAGAGGTAGTCCTCTCCTACAAGTAGCTCCTGGTCTAACTATTACTAATAGATCAGCACCAACCCTGCTGGAAACGGCACCACCCTGCCGTTATTTCAGACACTCCCTGAAGGCCTGAGTCTGATAGCCAGGATAAGGACACAGCCATCCACCTGAGCTATCTGGCTAGTGTCCAAGGAGGGTGAACCAAGGGTGCCCTGATCACCAGGCAGCCGTCATCCCTGAGGGCGGCGCACACATTGCCAGAGTGTGTGACCACAAAGCCCTCCACGTGGGGCTCTAGGTAAGCTTGAGTTTGGCTGCACATGGCCAATGCTCCCCGTGCTTACAAGGGCTACCGTGTCAGAGATGCTGTCACTTGGCTGCTGTCCTCCCAGGGACCTCATCTTCTCAGGGACATCAGCCTGTAGGGATGAGACAGGAAGAGGGCAGTGATGCAGAATGGGGAAGCCCAGGGAGACCAGCTGGCAAACTCACAGACTGCCAGCTCAGGGCACACCACAGGTTCATCCTGGCTAGGCATTCGGACTCACGGGGGCAGGAAAGACGGCCAGGGGGTCTCACCACTACCCTGCATGGCCCTACTCACCGGGCTTGGAGGTTCCCTGTGGCTCCGGGCACTGTGGATACTCCCTATCTCTGTCTGTGAGCTGGAGTGTGACAGGCCTTCGAAGTATGGCCTGGATGGAGAAGGAGCAGATGTTATTTCCCAAGATCCCCTTATACATTGAAAATGGGGTCCAACCCATGCACACAGAAGGGAAAGCAGCATGAACTCAAGGGCAGAACAGAGCTGCATCTGAAGAAACAGGCAGTGCGGAGGAAGTGTGTGACTACATATCCAGTCCTGAGGGAAGCTTGCGGAGGAAGTGTGTGACTACATATCCAGTCCTGAGGGAAGCTTGCACACATGGTAGGATTCTGCAGTGACTCCACTTCAGGTGGGCACAGCTCCTACACTGGCTATGAAGTCAGTGCAGAAACAGTGTGCTCCAGGGCTGGGGAGACCTGGCACCTGCCGCCAAGCCTGAAGACCTGAGTGACCCTTGGGACCCACATAGTGGGAAGGAGACACATAACCCTGGCAATTTGTCCTCTGACCTCCACACTCACGCTGTGGCATGGGCATGCTACCTTCCATAGTAAAATTTAATTACCCCATCTGCTCGTGGTGTTCTTCCACGGCGGGGCTGCCAACAACACAGGAGAGGGGCCTGGGGGTGTGAGCACAGGGTAGGTACCTCAGAGCTCTTAACGGGGGCTGCCCCTGTTGAGAGCCTTGAGATCTGTAGCTAGATCACAGAAATCAGAACAACAGTCTCAACAGCACAAGGGTACCAGGGCCAGTTCCAGAGCATCTAAGCCAGTCTAGACATATTCAGACTATTCCAGACCAACACAGATGATCTGATACCCCCATAGCCACAACAGACCAAGCCTGACAAAGCCAATTCAGACTAATCCAGAATGGTCATGACTCTAGACCAACAAGGACAACTCTTGCCAATCCAGACCAACTTGGACCAATGTTATCTGTCCTCAGCAGATTTAGTGTGAGTGAAGAAACAGGAGATGGAGAAAGCAGAGATCTAGAGATGCAGGGTATCGCCTGTGCATGGCCACTCAGGATCACACATCAGATTGATCACACATCACCCCAGAACCACAGGCATTAGCTGGCTAGGGACTAAGCCACCACAGTTAATAGCGTGGGGCTCATAATGGGGAGGATCTGAACTCTCGGGGTGGACCCAATGTGACCCCAGAAGTCAGTACAGCAAAGAATATACTCAAGCCTAAAATACACGAGACAAGGCGGGAAGGGCCTTGCCAAGCACCAGGAGGACAGAAATGGAGGAGAACAAGGGTCGCCAGCTTGCTTGACCTCAAGGACACCGCCCTGTGCCAGCAGTCCAACACCCCGACCTGAGCCCACCCCAGGCAAGAATGGGGAGCATAATAGATGCTGGGATTTATTTATTTATTTATTGGACAATGTCTCACTCTTAGCCCATGCTGCCCTTACACTTAATAATCCTCCTGCCTCAGTCTCCCAAATGTTAAGACTACAGACATGAGCAACCAAGCCCAGCAGTAATGGATAATTATTCACCACTGAGAATTATGGTTAATTAATTGCAAGACACAGGAAGCCAAAAACAAACAAACAAAAAAAAAACCAAAAAAAAAAAAAAAGGATTTAGCTGTTTGGAACATCTTGAGTGTCTGTTCTCAGTAACCACACCAAGATCCAAGTCTGTCCCGTGCACACTACCTGTGCACATGGCCTGCTTTCCTTCTCTGTCTGCCCTAGGCCAGGCTTGGCCAGCTCTCCTCCCAGCCAAGCCACACAGGGGCTCTGGCCAGGGCTCCCCTCTGCTGTCTGTACAATGGATGCCTGCAGTTTCCAGTGTCCCTCAAACTGATGCCAGTAGGGCCACCTGGGGCCATTTATCCCTCCATAGCCTGCCTCAAGGATCAAGCTCTGGCCTCACAGAATTTTCCAGCTCAAGCCCTTTCCCAGCCGCTCCCCCTCCCCACCTCCAGATGGTTCTGCCTGTCTGAAGTTCCCAAGGCACATGCAAGCACCCTGAGGAATACTCTGCCCTGCGAAAAGATGGCAGACTGAGAGCCCCAATGGGTCAGGAGCAGTTACGCCCTTCCACACCTACCTGCCTTTCTACAAAGGTATTCTTTTCCTCTGGCCATTGGGAGAAAGCTGCCTGACTCTATCCAACCACTGTAACCATGGACTCACCCCGTGTGTCCTCTCAGGATGTCCCTGTTGGTCTAGCCTATGGGAACCATCAAAACCCACAGTGCTCCAGGGTTAAACATGCATCACATGCAACCCAGATCATTCCAGAACAACACTGTCAGGCTGCTCAGGATTCCTACTGTGTAGGATCAAGTTTATTAGAAGTGACATTTCAACCTGGCATGGCTTACCTAAGCTTGGGTTTGGGGGTGCTAAGGACACTGTCATCGTCGTCCATATCAGGGCCACTGTCACTGGGGTTATCCACATCCAGAGTGTCATACAGAAGATCCAGGTCCTCCTCCACCTCAGGAACATGTTCTGCAGGGTCCTGCTCCGAATCTAAGACCTACAGCAATGCTAACATGTATGAGAGCCCCACAGGGCCTGTGCCACTGCTTAGCTAATAAGGGGGGGCAGGGCAAACAAACAGTGCCACAAAACACTTAATTGCCAAGACATCCTATTTTGTCTGCTTCCCCCCCCCACCCCCGCGCGCACGTGCATGTGTGTGTGTGTGTGTGTGCGTGTGCGTGTGTGTGTGTGTGTGCGCGTTTACAGGATAGAAGCTGATATCAAATATCTTCCTCTAAGCCAGGCTTAGTGACACATATCTTTGATCAGCACTTGGGAGTAAGAGGCAGGTGGAGCTCTGTGAGTTCAAGGCCAGCCTGGTCTACAGAGTGAGTTCCAGGACAGCCAGAGCTACACAGAGAAACCCTGTCTCAAAAAATAAAAACAAAACAAAGAGGAAATGCTAGTGAACAGAACTGAGGCTCCTGTCCTGCGCAGTAAGTGCTTTACTCGCTGAGCCGTGTTCCAGTCCGCTGCTCTAACTTAGGAGCTGGGATCCCTCACAAAGACCTCAGGTCACCTCAGGCGTGACTACCCGCTCTGTGTGGATAGACTGTGTGTCAGCACATAGTGTTCATACCTTGTGAAGCGCACAGGCAGTCAAACCTGGACAGCACCTGAGGCCCTATCATCAAACCCTCAGCCAAGGCTCTTCTCTCCCACAAAGTCCTCTTGGCCCAGTAGAGCCATGTTTCTGTTCTCCCAGGAAAACCCTGGTCAAGGATGGGCTCAGTCTAAAGGTATTTCCCATAAAGATGGTGTCAGAGTGTCTATCAAGAGAAACCTCTGGGTTTCATGTTGAAGGGCCTCGCATGAGGGTGGAGCTCTCATGAACATTAGTGACCACAGGAAAAGGGCTGGGGCGGTGGGTTCCTTCTGTCCACAATGTGAGGATGGACATGCAGACACACATACACACAGACAGACAGACACACATAGACACAGAATCCCCCACATAGACCCACACAGACCCACACCTCCCCCCACAGGTCCACACACACACACACACACACACACACACACACACACACACACACACACACACACCATCTTTGAAGAACACATCTTTCCCAGACTCTGAATCCACTGAGCCTTGATATTGGACTTCCAGCCCCCCAGAACCATGAGCAAGACATGCTGGCTGTTCCGTTACCTAGCCTAAAATGGCCAGCACAAGCAGAAGGCAGAAACCAGCACAGAGAATCAGGGAGCCACTGTGTGCAGTGTGCGGTGTGTGGTAGAACAGGGTACCAGTAAAAACAGAGCAGACCCAAAAAGAAACAATGTGGTTCTGGGAAACAGAGGAAAAGGCCATCTACAACAAAGCAGACAAAGCTTGGTAGATCTGCAGGGTCTGGATCCAGGTATTTTATGGAAGACAGAACTTATGACAAGACAAGGTATCTGGCCAAATAAACCTCCAATTCAGAGGGAGCCAAGTTACCTCTCTTGGCAGTTTATAATAAAATACCAGGGAGAAATCGGATAAAATCAAAAGAGCTGGAAAAGTCCCGGCCACAGCAGATTGTAGGCTGAAAGCAGGAGATGGAAGATGGCTCAGCAGTTTCTAGTGTGTACCGCTCTTACAGAGAGCCAGAGTTCCCTCTCAGCACCCAAGTCAGAGGAGCTCACAACCCTGTAACCCAGATCCAAAGATCCAATGCCCTTTTCTGTACCCAGTGGGCACCGTAGTGCCGTGCACAAACACCCATACAGATGTGCACACACACACAATTAAAAACATGGTGTTTTAAAAATTAAGTCTGAAGAGATCAATATGCACAAAGGGAGTGAGGAGCTACTTAACAGGATGATGGGAGGTGACCCAAAGACGCTTCCATGCCCAGGTCTTGAGGGCGCGTGCTGTTAAGCGGCTGCTCCTGAGGCGCAAAGCTGTGTCTTTTAGGGCCCACGTGTGGTCAGGCAGCAGGAATGGCCCCTCACACAGCACAGGAGGCCAATCTTGGCACTCTCAAAGTTTGCAGAAATATGGTCATTTTTAAATTGCTGTCACAGGATGTGCTGTCCCAGGCAGAGGCCTGAGATGGAAGCAGGGTACTGTCTAAAAAGACAGACTGCAGTAAGATACTGAGACGCCACACCCGTGGAGTGCTCTGGAGACCAAACTGCCGTCTCTGGTCACAGTGCCAGCCTGGGAGAGCCACAAGGCTCACAGCTGCTACCTTAGACACTAGGCTGCACCCAGTGACACTGTGGGGCACTTCCAGGTCCTAGAGCCCCAGCACTGAGCCTATGTGTCCCGAGAGCAGATCACTGAACCTTAAGATTCAATGTACGGGGAATAGGAACACGGTACAGCAGTTCACAGCACTGGCTGTCTTTGCAGAGGAAGAGAGTTCAGTTCCCAGCACCTCCAGGGTAGTTCACAACCATCTCTAACTCCAGTTCCAGGGGATCTGGTGCTCTCCTCTGACCTCTGGAGGCACCAGATATGCACACAGTGCACATATATACATACAGGCAAACACTCATACCTATTTAATAAATCAATCCTTTCTTTTCTTTTTTTAAGATTCAGTGTTTGAGGCAAGTGAGAGTAAGGGAATTTCTACCAAGTCTAAGGACCTGAGTTTGAACCCTGTGACTTACATGGTAGAATGAGAAAACAGACTCCAGAAAGTTGCCTTCTGACCTCTACACACACAGAGACACATACAGACACACACACACACACAAATGTTGCCCTGCTGAGTCCCCCTTTTCCCATCTAGAACAGAGTTACTGCCCTATGCGGATCTCATTGCAAGCACATAATCTGAGCTCACACCTGGACAAGCACTGATGTAGACAGTACTCAGACACCATAGTTTTTAAGAATTTGAGTTGATGCTAGAATGAATTAAGATTTTAAGGGCTGTTGGGTTAGAATGAATACCTTTTGTATGAGGGAAGAACATGGATTTTGGAGTCTAGGGGCAGAATGTTTCAATATGAATAGTTATGTCCTCTATATGTTTTTCTCTGTGTAGCCCTGGCTCTACTAGAACTTTCTCTGTAGACCCGGCTGGCCCTGACTCAGAGGTCTGCCTGCCTCTGCTTCCCAAGAGCTAGGATTAAAGGCGTGCACTACCACCTAGCTTCCCTAAAATTCTTATGTTGGAACCTAACCCTCAGTGTGATTCAGCGAGAGCAGGCCTGTGCAATAGTGCAGCCCCTGCGCTGTGTGAGGGTGTGGAGATGCAGTGCTGTCTATGAAGATTTAGCCTTCTCCAGACAGGAGTCTGCCAGCACCTTTGGCCTTTCAGTCTCCAACTATGAACAGTATTCTTTGGATGTACTTTAAAAAAAAAATATGTATATATGTGCAACTCACCTAGCATTTCCCTTTTTAATTATTACTTTACTTTATGTGTTGGGTGTTTTGTCTGTATGTCTGCATCACATGTGCGCCTGGCGCCTGGCCTGTCTCTCTATGAGGTGTAAGCTTCAAGATTTAGGGCCTAGAGGCTATTCCTGGAAAGGGGCTGGAGATGTTTCAGAGTGGATGCTGGCCCTGCAGAAGGCGCCATGGCTGAGAAGAGCCACCTTCGATGCCTGCACATGTGAAGAGGGGCAGCTGGTGCTGCAGCTGAACTGGGACCCTGCTGCTAACGGGCTGTGGCCCTTGCATACCCTGATGTAGAGGGTGGGGACACGCTCCGAGGCGCAAACAGCCCAGCGTCCCCTCTCTACTGTGGGCCTAGAATCTTGACTCTGTTTTCTTTTGATTATGAACAAACTCGATACCTAAGACTGAGGATTAGAGAAAACCGAAGATCTGTGGCATGCTGGCCACAGAACAAGCTGTGCATGGCAGGAGTTGGGACATGGAAACTCTCCGTACGTTTTCTATGAACCTGAAACTCCTCCCTCCAATAGTCTATAAGAACCAATGATTAGCCCTCTGCTGGTGTTCCTACAGGAGCACCATGACTTGGGAGTTCAAACCCCAGTGAGTGAGCCAGGCACTTCATTGGCCTCTCACAGCTGCCATCGAGGCTGGCAGTCAGAGGGCAATACCCCACACCCACGGATGGTAAGTGCAGAGCCAGCCCACACCTGAAGCTTTACCAGAGCACCCTGTACCCTGCACAATGCCAGGGCACTCCAGCGCTGGGCCATGACCTGGCCCACTCACCTCCTCTGACACCTTGAACCTGCGCAGCAGGGCCACCACCTTCTGTTTGAAGTTCTGCTGCTGTAAGACAAGAAGTACAAGAATCTCACATTAGGAATGACTGGGGCGGGGGGCTACATTCCCGGGACATAGCAAAGAATTGCACTGTGGCCTCTCAATAATGAAGGACAGGGGGGATGCAGCTCACATCTATGAGCATGTGAACTGGGTGTAAATACAGTCATGTGCATTTGAAAGCACAAACTGAGGCCAGACCCAGAAATACGGGTTGGGGGGTGGGGACCGTCTGATAGTCCACACCCACTGAGGGCCAACCAGGGAAGAGTACAGAGTGGTTCTGTAGTTCTAGAAGCTTCTGCAGCTCTCCAGGCTCTCAGCACCTTCCCACAGCTCCACCTCCCACAGGGCAGCCCTGCCTCATCTTCTCAAGGGCACTGCACTACCATCCTGAGGGAGTCACTCAGGACAGCACAGGGCAGGCAAACCAATGCAGCCTGTACCGATGAGTTCAGTGAAGCTGCTGAACGGTTGGCTGCAGGGCCTCTGCTGCAGACACTGACCAGCAGGAACATTCAGCCACCCTTACAGAGCGACCCTAAACGTACGTGTGTGTGCGCGCGTGCACGTGTGTGCGCGCGCTTCCTGCACGGTCCCTCAGGCTGGCCCCTGTGTATCTAATTCTGTGCCGTGGTCACTGTCTGCCTACAACCTCTTTCTCACATCTGTCAAAGGCTAACAGTGCTATCCCTGGTCAGTACTGGCAAGGGGCTAACCATACTGGCCAGTCCTGCAGCCCAGTGCTGGGCCCTAAGGGGCTCTGGGACCTCTGAGGGTCACTGTGCAGGCTAAGAACGGGCTGGAGTCTACCCCATGTTTCTTTCCTCCTGTGGAAAGGTCTAACAGTCAAGTCTCTGTGCTGGCAGACCACACCCCTCCCCCAAAAGGAACAGGTCCTACACATGGTGAGTTTTAGTATTGTGGTGATGGGAAAGCCGCACCCTCAATGGTCTGTGGGCCTGTGGCAGCTGTCCTAGCCTTGCTCCAGACCCCCAAGGCTCCATGACCATATAAAGTTGGAGTGGGACATGAGAGAAAGGCAGCCAGAAGACAACTCTGGCTTTCTGACTAACAACAGCCAGGTGCAATTCTGGCCGGAGGACAAGTGGGAATTCTAAGAATCTTTTGGGCCATATGTCATGTGAGGCTAAAGTTCTCAGGAGAGGCTGTCTGCTCTCTTGCCCACAGCCTCCAGTGAGCCTCCCAGCCATGGCCCGCCCTCCTCGCCCCCCCCCCAGTGTTAGTAAAACTAGTTTCCACCGACCCTGGTCATGGACGTCGTTCTTACTATCGAGCGCCGCTGCTTCTTGGGTTTTCCCACATCAAAGTCATCCTCATCAAGATCCTGTGTAGACAAACATTCCAAGTGCCTGGTGCTCAGCCCCACTCAGTCCCCAGCAGTGCACAGGGCCCGAGGCCACAGCCCACCCCACCTCACACAGCAGACCCCTCTACCCATCCATAGCAGTGTGCGGGCCATCGTTTGGTAGTCAGCTGCTAACACTCAAGCCCAGGAGGGCTGCCTACTGGCATGTTCTAGCCCCAGGGAGGAAGCAACCAGGCATGACACATCAGTTTTCTGCCCTCCCCATCCCATGTGGCACCTGAGACCCGTAGAGCCATGGGCTAGCACAGGTCCCAAGCCTCTTCTCTATAGGGGGAGCTGCCAGGTGCCCCTCCCATCCCAGGCTCAAACTGTTACCTGCCCCTGGACAGCATCGTCGCTGGCTTCTTGCTCAGAGGAAAAGCTCTCATACTCCTCCTCAGAGTAGTTATCTGTGGAGTGAGCACACAGAAGGAAGAGGGCCTTTAGATTCCACCTGATGCCATGGCAATGAGTTGGCAACAGAAGGTCCCCTGAGAGCAGAGGGGAGCTGTAAGGAGGCGGCCCCAGGGAAACCAGGCGGGGAGCTGAAACGCTGTGGCCCTGAGTGCTGACGCCTAAGCGCAGCAGGCCGCATGGCCAGGGGTTGATGGGGCAAGAGACCAGGGGAAATGCAGTACCCAGTTGTGAAGGCAGCAGCAGACGACAGCCGTGGAGCACCTGTCCCCCATCCGACCCAGGACACCCAGAAAGCGGGTACTTACTACATGATAGAACCCATGACACCTACAGATTGTACACAGAGCTTATGACAACTTCAAAAGCAGACACGACTTTCTCCAAAAGTTTCTAACTAGACAGAAATGTAACAGACACATCACACATCCCCTGCCTTCTCCAACCCTACTGGGACAGCCCTCCTACACACGTGGGCAGGCCAGGGCAGAGCAAGAAGGCAGTGAGTGACTCACCTGTGGACTTGGCCTTGGGGCCAGCCTGCATTGCACTATCCTCATGGTCAATGGGCTGGCTGGACAGGGAGACGATCCAGATCTCAGCCACCTTGACAGAGGCCTCTTTGATGCTGCTGCAGAGGTTCAGCACCTGGCCACCCTCGGAGGGGTGCTGCATCACCTGGGGGACATGGTTCCAACATCAGGAGGGCTACCACCCCCGACAGTGCCAACATCCAGGACCAGTGCACACCTAGAAGGCTGAGCAGGAAACCAGAGGAAGCCCAGGGACCAGGGAGACGGCCTGAGTGGGGAGATCCCTGCCAGGCTTGGTGTTTCTCTGACTACAAGCAGACAGAGGAGTGTATCTAAGGACTGCCCAATTCTGGCACCCTGCTGCCCCTTGGAAGTCACTCAAATAGTTCTTGGACCCCGCCCACCTCTACCTACTGTTCCAACTTGGGAGCCTCAGTAGCAGCCACAGTGTGTGACTAGGGGTCACCCAACCTTGGGAAACCAAATGTCTAAAGACTCATGAGTATAGAAGCCAAGGAGGAAATGCTACCAACATGGAGCAAGGCTGCAATGGCATAAGCAGCCCACCAGGCCTGGCTCATGGGAATGCCAAGACCCTGGCTAGCTAACTGTTGTAACAAACTCAGCAAGCTAGCCAGGGCAGCAGGAGCCAATGCTGACCTAGATATCGTCCTGGTCCTGATACTGCTTCAAAAGCAGGCGCACGTGGCAGACCTGTCCCTGACGGGTCATTGGTCAGACCCAAATGTAAATCTTGTATAGGTTAAAAAAAAAAAAAAAAAAAAAAAAAACAGTGGCACCTGAAGCCAGGAAGATGTGTCAGTGAGTAAAGGCATTGCTGCCATACAATGACCAGCGTTCAATCTCTGAAGGAGGAAATCTAGTGCCCTCTGAGGATCTACACCCATCACACATGCATACTAACATTTAATACATTTGATTTAGGATGACAACTCTAAGCAGTGAAGAAAATAAATTTTAAAGTCACTCACATTTAATTTTTAATTTTTACCAACACTAAAGAAACCAGGAAGTCGGGCCAGCATCTCCATGCCAAATCCTGGGACTTCATGTGCCAAGTGCACTTAGGACACATGGAGGAAAACCTCTGCTACCTGACTCTACAGGTGCGTGTGCATGTGTGTGCGCGCGTGTGTGAGAGAGTGTGTGTGCGTGTGTGTATGTGTGTGTAAGGTGGAGTCTCTTTGCCCAGAAAGCCTGCTCTCTGGCCCCCTCTACTGGGAGGACAGAGAAGAAAACAAAAAGAACTTTGCCACAGGCAGGCTATATGCCTACCTTGAGCACAGCAGCCTTCTGCCCCTGGGAAACCCTGAGAAAGGCAGACGCATACTCAGTCCCAGCTGCTTCACCTACAAGTGCCAGGCAGGGCCCAGGCAGGTGGGCACAGACAAGGCTTGGCACGGGCTTGCTGGTGCCTACCTCAATCCTGCCCTGCTGCCAGCCCTTTCTCACGTTCCCCCTAGTTTCCCTGGCTACTGTGGGCTTCGGAGAACACTTGGGCTGGTGGGGGCTGGCTAGGTGTGATCTGAGTAGCAAGCAGCAGTTTCCACTTCAGCGCCTCTGTAGCTCAGAGCAACCCTCTGGCTCACCAGGAGCTGGGGACACTGAGTTACCACAACAAAGGGCTGAAGTCAAGTCAGCCTGGGGCAGCCGCCTCCTCTCAACTCCCCACAGCCTCCTTCATTTCCAGGGTTAAGAGAGCTGGAGAGGGTAAAATGGAGGAGGGTAGTAGGGGAGGGTGGGAAGTGGGCTCTGGGGAACCACAGCTACTGAGAGCCTTAGGGACACGGGAGGCATGCGGTTTTAAAACCGTAGGTGCTACAGCAGGCGTGTACCTTTGGGATGGTCACTCCAGCACGACCTCGGAAGCTGGAGGGAAAGCCATAGACCACGAAAGCAAGGAAGTTCCAAGAGACAGGGTGTAGCAGGACTGGGTGCTTAGGCCAGAGCAGAGGAGGAAGCAGATGGGGGACCCAATGCACAAGTGGCTGCGCTGCGAAGGTTCTGGGCAGCCCAGAAGCCTTAGGTACTTTAGGTTGGGGACAGTGCCACAACCTGGCTTGCAGCCATCTTCCCACTTCAGGCGGCCACCAACACACCCGCAATTTCCCCAGACACTGAGTGGAACTCCAGAAGAGGAAAGCTCTACGGTCCAGGGACAAAGTGGCCAATGCTGAGCCCAGCCTTGTGGGTTCTCTGGTGCCTGGGAGAACGGTCTATCAGACACACAACAGGTATCGTTCAGGGTTCTGAAGCACTGGAACCAGACCAGAACCTACCTCGGCCATGTTGATGGAACCCGCAGCCAGCGTTTTATAGCCCAGGATTGTTCGGTTCTTGTACCGCTTTCTGCGCTGAAGCATGATCTGGAGCTTGTTGCCTTCTCTCTTCAGGAAATGGGGGTACTAGAGACAAGTACCCTTGTTGAGGCTGGGTGCCACATAGCACACTAACCACGCAATCAGCAAGGCCCCCGAGGAGCACTGCTAGGGCCTGCCAGCCCCACAGTCCTCACTGCCCTGCGTCACTGCACCCTCGGGGTCCTCTTTCACTGGACTGCTGGAACATATCTGCTGAGCTTTGGGGATGGGTTCACGTGTTTAGGGGCATCTGAAGAAAGCAGGGCAGCTTCTCAGTACATAATCCCCAACATGGCCGAAGTCTCTAGTAGTCTCCCATATGTGGGAGTAGCTAGGTGCCCTCTGTGGGTGACCCTATGCACTCCTTGGCTAAGCAAGCTACCAAGCAACAGTCCCATCTGCTGTCGGTTGCCCACGCCTAGGACCTGCACTTGTGCCGGGGCTTCACTCAGTGAAATCAGTTCCCATTGGATTCTCAGCGCTCACAACCAGAGCCTGTGTTAAGTTCTGGACTTGGGATTAAAACCTAGTGTGCAAGCAGGCTGGTCATCCATACACATTTCTCAGAAGACATGGGGGGAGGGTGCGAGGTACTTGACACAGGTGTGTTTGGTAAATTACACTTCAGTCAACTGGATTCTCTGCAGCAGTGCACAAACCCAGAAGCAGATGATCTGGGTGGGCAGTCTACATTCTCCAAAGGGCACTCAAAGGACTCTGATCTTAATACACCCTGGCCTGACCGTGTATTTGATCCTTGTAAAGCTCAATACTGCCACCTGGAAGGATTTTGAATTGCCTAGGAGACAGGCCCTGGGGTATTCCAGGTATAACCAGGAGGGAGTCCCTAGGTTAGGTTAACTGAGGTGGAAAGAAAGAGCCATCCTAATGTAGGTAGTTCTGCGGGGCCTAGGCTGGAGGAAGCGGCTGAGCAGGAGCCATCACTGTTCGCTGCTTCCTGACTGCAGAGGCAACACGACCAGCTGCCTCACGCTCCTGCAACCCGGACCATGACCAACTGCACCTCAAACTGTGAGCCAATAGAAATATCTTACTACACTCCCTTAAGTTGGCTTCTTACCAGGTGTTTTGTAGTCACAGCCATGAATCAGCTAACACAGACCTCATTATTCCATTTTCTTTATTATGAGAGAGGGGTTAGAATAAATCAAAAAGAGTTTCTAATTGTTGAAGAATAAACCTTTGCCAGGTGTTGACGGCACATGCCTTTGATCTCAGCACTCAGGAGGCAGAGGCAGGTGGATCTCAGTGAGTTCCAGACCAGCCTGGGCTGCTACAAAGAGAAATACTGTCTTTAAAAAAGTAAAGAAAGAAAAGAGAAAGAGAGAAGGAGAGAGAGAGAGAAAGAGAGAAGGAGAGAGAGAGAGAAAGAGAGAGGAGAGAGAGAAGGGAGAGAGAGAGAAGGGAGAGAGAGAAGGGAGAGAGAGAGAGAAGGGAGAGAGAGAGAGAGAGAAGGAAGGGAGAGAGAGAGAGAGAGAAAGAGAAGGGAGAATCTTGATCAAGAGAAGATCAAAGCAAGAAAGAACAGCTGGAAGAACAGCTGGTTCTGTCAAGGGCTTGAACAACATCCAGCCCTGACAAGGGTGCGTCCATCTCTCAGGAAACTGATGAGGAAGTGTGTCCCTCACCCCAAGGAGTTCACCAGGGCATACCTATCACTCAGGGCATTGCACAGGGAGTGAGTCCATCACCTCCACAGCACTGAACAGAGTGTGCCCATTGCCCTGGGCACCAAGGAGGAAACGTTCATTATCCAAAGCACTGACTAGGGAGAGTCCTCACTACCCAGGTGTCAGACTCACCTGGAGAGAGAAGGTCAGAGCCAGGTCAGTTTCCACCTGTCCACTGGGGGGCAGCACAATCTCATGCGACCTCAGGACGCGTTTGGAACCCTGCAAGGAAACACAGCCGAGAACCAGCTAAGAACACCCTCACACCAGCACCTGAACTATCACCACAAAGGCTTCATGGGGGGCAGGGAGCAAAAATATTTGTCAGGACCCTTACAACTTGATTCTTGCTGGGTTCTGCCCAGGAAATGGAAGGGAAAAACCAAGAACAGCTCCTTGGAAAGGCACGGGAAGCTCAGCACAGGCCACCGATGTCCTAAGGACAGTCAATGCACAGCCACAGGCCACTTAAAACCCAGAAACTACCACAGGGACAGGAAGAGCAGGAGATGTTTAACACAGATTCAAAGCCAAGAACCCACCAAGCCTCTCGGGAGGGGTGGCCTCCCACACTGACCATAAGCAGAAGCCAGGGCCTCTCTGGACTCCAAGCACACGTCTCAGGGGAAAATGGGAGGGTCCTGCATGGATGGGAGGGTTCTGTGTGGCAGAGGAGACCCTGAATGACAGATGAAAGTCTTGCCCAGGGCCAAGGCTCAGCACAACTCTTACAGCAGGTCTGGGATGTGTCCAATGGGTGGGGTCAAGCATGGGCTACTTCACCAGGACCCAGGTACTCCCTGCTCAGGGGTCAGGGGTCAGAAGCACACAGTTGTGCCCTTATCCAGGCACATACAGGCCTGGTCTGAGGTTGCATGACAGCTGTCCTGCATAAGCCACACACCTGTGAAGGGTGATCAGAGAGGGCCGCCAGGAGCTGCATCTGAGAAGCCAGGAGTCAAAATCCACATCCTGTCCCCTGAGAGTGGACATGGAACCTGGCAATCCTCAACATAGCAAAGGCAGCCAAAGGGCTAATGGCCAGAGCTGCTCTCCCCAAGAGGTGGGATCCAAGCCCATCCAGTCACAGGCTCCTCAAGGAACCTATGAGGAGTGGACAGAACACTTGGGTAGGTTCTAGTCCAGAAAGCCCACGCCCTGCTTCCTCTTCTGTTCCTGTTAACACCTGTCGCCCTGGGAGAGGCATAAAAGAAAGCTCTGGGTGTGCAGCTCAGTGTAGGGTAGGGGTCTCTGAGAATAGTTCCGGAACCACGTGGGAATGAGGCAGGCCACACTTGTGCACGGGTGTGCAGTGGGGGCTTACCTGCATCTTGACAGCAATCACCACAGACAGGAGCTCCTTCTCCAGCTCCCGAAGCACTGCAAGTTTCTTCAGGGTCAAGCTACACAACCTGCAAGACACAGGGCTCAGCCTTGTAGCATGCTTCCTATTACATTGCCCAGTTTCCCAGAAAACTGCAGGTCTGGCCTGGCCCTGTTTCAGCTGCCTTTGCACATCTCTGTGAGGGGCACCACCAGGAGGGCTGGATGGAAAGGCCAGAGAAAAGGCACCTGAATGGCAAGCGCGCGCGTGTGTGGCTGAAGAACACCGAGAGCTCCAAAGGCCAGAGCTCTGGCACCAACAGCACAGCTCTTAGCCATGGGACCACAGCCTCCCATCCCAGGTCTGGCTGCCCACCCCACGCTGTCACCTCCATGAGGCAGGCATGAATTCACCTCAACCCTGCTCTAAGGCCTTTGAGCTGCATGGAGACAGGCGCTGCCTGCTCGGGGCAGTCTGTTGACATGCCCAGGATCCAGAGCAGCTGTACAAACATTTGCCAAACTATAAGCACATGGCCTCTGGGTTGGCTTCTGCAGAACTCTCCATGCCTGCCTGCTTCCCAAGTCATCTGTGGAGCCATCTGTGCCACCTACACCTGTGCACACACTCCGACACACTACACACATACATGAGCCCCTGGAACAAACTCTTGAAGGCTGTGGGAATGCACACCTGCTTTGGCAGACTTTCCACAACCACCTGTAAATAAATACTGATCACTTTACTACCCAAATCCTGCTCTATGACACTTGCTCAACAGGACAGCATAGTAAACGTGCAGCTGTCTAAATTAAAATGGCATTGGTGACACGTGTGTGCATGCCTTTAATCCCAGCACCTGGGAGGCAGAGGCAGGCAGAGCTCTAGAGTCTAGCCTGATTCACACAGTAAGCTCCAGACACAGAGAGACCCTGTCTCAAACAAACTAACAGTGCCGGTTATGCATCCCTGCTTCACATTCAAGACAGACAAGTCCTCAGAAGTCAAAGCTGGGTCTCAAACGGCAGGTCTCTGCTTCCACATGAGCTACCACGGGTTCTCAACAAGACAATGAAGGTCAGGAGGGCAGCCCTGCTCTCACAGGAGGGCAGCATGCTTCTGTCCTGGTGCCTGAGAACCGTGCGGGGGTGGGGGGTGGGGGGAGCAGTCCCTCAAATGCCCTTCCTACCCTGGCCCAGGAGACGTCACCCGAAGTGTCCACCACTTCCATGGACATGTGGGATGAAAATATTACATAGAAGGAGACTTCTCCACTTAAGAACTAACCCTCTCCATCTTCTACTCTGTTTAAGATGGGGACTCCACGTTTTTCTGAGTTTAAGATGGGGACCCCACTGGTCCTCACTGACAGGTTGACACATGTTTGAGTCGTGGCACTGCACTATGTTTAGAGAAGAGAAGGGACAGGCAAGGGACTCCCTCACAGGAGGTGCCCTTGCTCAACAACAGGAGCTGCAGGCTGGAGGCAAAAGCGAGCATCCCAGACAGTCTGATGCCAGGAAGCCATGAGAGCCCGGCAGGACAGAGAAGCTCAGCCACAGGTGGGTGGAGTGTATTTCAACACCTCCTGTCACCAGACAGACCTACACTAAAGAGCAGCTCCTAAAGGGCCGCCAAGGCCACCAACTGGGTGTGCATGCAGCTCTGGGAACCCACAGGACTTCATCCCACTATGTGGGACACAGCTACCATAGAACTGAAAACTTACAAGTATCTCTTTCTGGAATTTTCTATGTAATATTTTCATCCCACAGTAGGACTTGGAAAGGTAAGCTATGGGAAACGAAACTGCAGTTGAGAGGTGGCTACTCTGACAAGGCAACCGGAAAGCACACGGTCACCTGGGAAATGGACCTGTGGAAACGGTCTCTCAAGAGAAACCGGAAAGTGTCAGGCATGGAATAAAAATGAAGACGGCATGTCAGAATTTGAGTGAGTATTGGTGTTCCTACTGGAAGAAAGATTTCCACTGAACAAGCTAAGCTGCATTTAAAAAAAGAAAAAAAATGAAGAACCAGGAGAGAGACACAGAGGAGAGAGAATATATATATATATATGAACACCAAGGAAGGAAACAATAAAGATAAAATCAGAAATAACTTGAAAATAGAGAAAATAAAAACTAGATGTTACTCCTTTGTGAAGACTAAAAGAATTCATTAAAACCTCCAGCCAAACAAAGATTAAAAAGACAACAGAATATTCTCTTTATCAGGAGTTAAAGAGCACTAGAGACCTCAGACACCCAAGCTACAGCAGACAAAACAAAACAACTCCTACTGCCCCGACCTCCAAAGCTCACCGAGAGAAACTGGTGACAGCCCACAACTGCCTACTGGAAACGTCAACGAAGCACAAATGCTCTGGAGAAGAAACCTCTGGCAAATTCAGAGGCGAGGACCAGGGTTCCATCCCCAGCACAGGAGATACAAGCGGAAGACAGAGGGAAGCTAACAACTCTACATACCATCTTCCAGAAAACACAAGAGGAAGGGATGCCTCAACTCAGGAGAGCAGCATTGCCATTCTATCAACAGGGGCAAAAGCAGAACAAAGAAACAACCCTGCAGAAGCTGGGTGTGGCCGCTGGCACTCACCCACCCACAGTCCCAGCACTCAGGAGTCTGACATAGGATGACCTGAGCGAGCCTGAGCTACACAGTCAGACCTTGTTGGGAAAAGACACAGGGTGAGGAGCAGGAGAGGAGAAGGGACTAGGGAAAGCATACTACCGACTGGCGTCCATCGTGCACACAGATGCACACTCTTCCACAGGCTTTTTGCAAGCTACATCTAGCAAGACATAAAAATTCTCATTATTATACTCTGCCAAGTGGGGTCTGTTCTAGGAATAAAATGCTGGCTCAGCATTTGAAAATATTTTTTTTCCTTTTTTTATTTAAATCTGAAACAATCCCAGTTCCCTCACTCTTGAAAATAATTTTAATTTACCATTTCAGCAAACTAGATAAGAGGGGGAAACAACAAAACAAAAAACCGGCATGTGCCCTCAGTCAAAGTGCTGTGGTGTGCTGCCGTTTACTCGAGGGGCCATGCAGTAAGGCGGTGCCGGCCTGTGCCTCCACTGGGTGGGAGAATGTTTGGGAGGATGCACTGGAAGGCTCGCCCTTCCTGGTCTGCTTTGGTCTATCTGGTGAACAGCTTTCCCGCACCCTTGCTGCGGGGTGTCACTTCACCTCTGACGTCAGAGCAGCCTCTGCCGTGGAGCTCTCTAAGTTGGTTCCTTGGATGTTTGCTATCACGCCAGAAGTCAACTGACACAGAAAGCTGGCACCAGGCGGGGTTGCTGTGGCAACAACTGAGGCTGTGGGGAGCCTCTTGGACTGTGCAGCGGGAGTGTGGCGGTTTGCAGGAGCACGCTGGAGAAACTGCAGCGGACTGAGCAATTCTGACATTCACACTGAACACTCCCAGCAGCAAGGACACAGGCTCAGAAAAGTAAAGCCACCACTCTTCACAGACACCGGGATTGTGGACAGAGAAGTCTAAGGAATGCAGCAAGAGTCAAGACATCCTAGGACCACAGCAGACCAGGCTGCCTCTAAAAAGCAACCAGGAACCACATGCTGCTCCTGCTAGACAACTGGAAGTCAAGTGTTCAAAAACATTCACTCACACTACTTCCAAACAAAGAAGATACTTAAATCTTAAGTAAAACGCAGACCTGCATGCTAGAAACTCCAAATGGTGGGCTGATGTGCTGTGTCAGGGGATAACTGTACCTGCTGCACAGACCTGGCCACCTGAGGTCCATCTCTGGAACCCACTTAGGAGCGAGCACACAGGAGAACTGGCTTCACAAAACTGTCCTCTGATCTCCACATATGCATCTGGCCCCGTCATTTACACAGCACATTAGCAATAAACAAACAAACAAATAAAATATAAAGGAGGCCTTGAATGGAGAGCCAGGCTCTAGGCTGTGAGCATCGATTTTCCCCAAACTAGTCTATTGATTGATTTAGTACCATTCCAGTGAAATCACTAGAAGGTTGTGTGGCAGCTCTGTCAAGATTAACCAGCTGATTTTAACTCTCATGTGTGAAGGGGCTAGGGCAACTGAAGAAAGGGAAATCGAGTCTAGCTCTCCTGCCCTAACATGAAGACCTGCACAGCGTGACGCCCACACACAGGGAAGCAGAGGTGAGCAGGACTGACCGACTGCAATCCACCAAAATGTAGGACTTTGGCTGCAACGGTGGCCCACACCTTTAGTCCCAGCACTTGGGAGGAGGAGGCAGGCTGATCTCTATGAATTTGAGTCCAGCCTGGTCTACACATTGAGTTTCAGGCTAGCCAGAGCTACATAGTGAGAACCTGTGTGAAACATAAAAATCACCGTTATAAGATAGGCTTCGGGGATGCAGAGCTGGCTCAGTTGGTAAAGTGCTTGCCACTCTGGGCACCTGGGTTCCATCCTTAGACTTCTTGTAAAATGTTCAAGGCCTGTAATCACAGCACTGTGAGAACCTAGAGCAATCCCAGAGGTTCTGTAGCCAGGTACTCCAGAACAACTGGGACACTCCAGGTTCAGTGAGAAAACAGTCTAAACATAGGTGTCTCTCTACCATACACACACGCACTCACACACGTACACACACACACACACACACACACACACACACACACACGCATGTATGCACGTGCAGGCGCGTGCAATTGTGGATAGGGACTGGAGAGGTGGCTCAGTGGTTAAGAGCACTAGATTCCCAGAACTCACATGACAGCTTATAACTATCTAAACTTCAACTCAAGAGGGCATTGACCCCCTCTTTGGGCATCTGTGGGCACAGGGCACACATGTGGTACAGACACACAAAATAAAATAAAAACAAAAAGAAGAGATGAATAGGACCGGTTGGTTGTGGTGCAGCACGGGACGATGCCTGACATCATTAGTCTCTGGTGATGTAAGAACAAGTCACAACCACAAGCAGAAACTACAGCAGAGCTGCTCACAAGAAGTGACAAACACCAGCACCAGGCACAGGAGAGGAGAGCAACTGGAACTCTAGAAGTCACACAGCCCTCCGCAGAGCACAGCAC